ATTGTTATTATTCTTATTATTCTTAAACAACATAGATCACCATCATATAGGGAACATGAGCATGCTTACCACAGGGTTGTGATCTGTCATTTTTACACAGTACAAGTAACCACCATATAGGTAACGTTAATGAATAAGATTACCAACATGTGTTCTTTATCATTCTTAAATCATCATCAAGTAATACCAAGGAATATAATTACCAATATGATTGCATTCTTTATTTTTATTACATGGAATTAATCACCATCAAGTAATACTTACCAATATTGTATTCTTTACTTTTATTACATGGTATAAATCACCACCATATAAGTAACGTTACTGACTATACTTACTACTGGGATTGTGTTCTTTACTATTCTGATCTCACGTGACCCGTTGCGCGACGGAGGCCAAGTCGCCACCAGCTCTCCTCTGCGCTCTATGGCCAACAGCTTACCGTAGGAGAAAAGCTTTTGTAGTTGGGATCTGGAGCTTGGCGGTTCTGATCTCACGTGACCCGTTGCGAACAGGGACTCCAGGTCGAAGAGTTCAGTTCACATGAAGTCAGTTCACATGGTCAGTCCACATGAAGTCAGTTCACGCCAAGTAAAGTCAGTCCACATGGTCAGTTCATACGGTCAATCCACATGAAGTCAAGTCAAAGTCCACAAAAGTCAGTCACATAAAGTCAGTCCACATAAAGTCAGTCCAATTCAGAAGTCAGTCCACATGAAAAGCATTAAATTCAGTCCACATAAAGTCAGTCCACATAAATTCAGTCACATAAGTCAGTCCACATAATCAGTTTCTACATAAAGTCAGCAGTCAACATGAAGTCAGCAGTCAGTCCACATGAAGTCAGTCCACATAAATCAGTTCAGCCAAGTCAGTCCACAAAAGTCAGTCCACATGAAGTCAGTCACATAAAAGTCACGAGTCAGTCCACATAAAAGTCCGTCCACCAGAGCATCAGTCAGTCCACAAGAAGTCAGAATTCATACAAAGTCAGTCCACATGAAAGTCAGTCCACATAAATTTCAGTATCCAGTTCACATAAATTCAGTCTACATGAATCAGCATGAAGTCAGTCCACATAAAATCAGTCCACATAAATTCAGTCCACATAAAGTCAGTTCACGCCAAGTCAAGTCCACAAGTCAGTCCACAGTCCACATGAAGTCAGTCACATGAAGTCAGTCCACATAAAGTCAGTCCACATGAAGTCAGTTCACATGAAGTCAGTCCACATAAAGTCAGTCCACATGTCCACATAAATCAGTCCACATGAAATCAGTCTACATAAGTCAGTTCCAATTCAGTCCACTCAATAAAGCACAATCATCCACAAGTCAGTCCACAGTCAGTCCAAGTCAGTCCACATAAAGTCAATCCACGCCAAGTCAGTCCACGCCAAGTCATAAAGTCAATCCACGCCAAGTCAATCCACGCCAAGTCAGTCCACATAAAGTCAATCCACCAGTCAGTCCGCACGAAATCCTTTGATTGGATTCGCCGTAGCGGACGAAGGAGAAAACGGACGGTCCGTATCAATTCACGCCAAGTCACGTCAAGTCAAAGAACTCGAGTCACGTCCGTAACGCTGGCGAGTAACAAGGTTGTGTTACTCCTTTTGGCTTTGTTATTATTGTTATTTTTATTTATTATTGTTCTTGTTTTTTGTTTTTTTGTGTGTGTGAGTAAACATCTGGCGGCAGCGCGAGGGAGTGAAACCATGTTATTAAAAGAAATAAACAAAAGAAGGAAGAGGAGAAACATCGAAATTTAGACGTTGTCTCCTTAAAAAAAAAAAAAAAAAAAAAAAAAAAAAAAAAGGGATGGCGGAATTCAAAAAAGTAAAAAAATAATAAATAAGGAAAAAACAAAAAAGAAAAAATAGGTATGACGAAGAGAGAAAACACAACCCACGTCTAACGAAGTCTTCAGCGGTGGGGAGTGGGAGTGGGAGTGAGTGAGTCCGGTGGTTTTGCCGTTTACAGTAGCACGTGGTATGATCAGGATGAGGAAGGTACCGCAAATAACGGTTGGTTTTCAGGGCATAAGACAACGCTCTTTGAGAACTTAGTTTATAAATGACTTTTCTTTGTTTTTTTTGTTTTTCTTCTGGGGTTATCGGACACCCACGCTGAGGAAACGGCGATTAAATCAAAAACTCTTATAAACACAACATCATAAAACACGTACAACAACAGCCATTAAAAATAAAACAAGAAAAAGCCAAGAAAAAATAAGAAAAACAAACAACACACATCTCAAGGAGACTGAAGATCTGAACATCCAAATTTCACATCATTGCGTTCAAGCGGGTAAGAAAACGCAATGGCGAGAGAGACGAAACATTGTGGAACGGACGAAGAGAGACTCCATTCACGGATTCCGTTTGGCGGTCAATGCCTCAGTCAGCGAGTGCCGGAAGGGTAGGAGAGAGAGAGAGAAGAGAGAGAGAGAGAGAGAGAGAGAGAGAGAGAGAGAGAGAGAGGAGAGAGAGGCGGCAGAG